ATGAATTCATTAAATCCTGCTTTATTAAACTTTGTTGCTTGTTTTAAAATCGTATCGGGAAATAAATGTTTTCAGTTTATTTAGTCAGTCGATATCTCATAAACCATCTGCTTATACAACTTGAATAATGAAAGTTAATAGTTTCCCTTGTTACAATTTTAGCACATTTTATCAATTCATTAAGCATCATTGGTAACGTCACTGCTGGAACATTCACCAAAGAAGCATGTGGTCCAGAGTTCGATTCCCACCTGATATACTCAAGGTTGGACGCGTAAGGCAAGGAAACCTACTCCGTAAAAAAGAACACCACTAGTAAAACTTCAATCTCAAACCTGGAGCCCTATGTTCCACTACGAATGAAAAGGAATAATGGTAATAAGTAATAATTAGTTCGTTGGAGAGAGAAATATGGAACAATATTTACGAATAATCATAGCATGTGTACAGATGAATAGAAATATTAAGTTCGCAAAATATAAAATCACTGCTGAGCTTATATGCACAATGTGATCAGATTTACCCGAATAAAAAAAAAACTAAAGTAGGGAGCACAAGTAGCAACAAGATATTGAGGTAAATAAATTATACGATTACGTAAGTCAATAGAAATATATTGTGAGTTAAACTCATTTAGTTAGATATCAAACATATAAAGTATAATGCTTAATAATTGATGACGCATAACTTGGTCCGAGGTTCGAGTCCCAGCTGGTTATAATCCTGAGAAAGAGAGGAGGTTGGGCGTGAGACTAGCAACCCCACCCCGTAAAAATAAACACCACTGCTACTGAACGTTCAAGCCTATAACTTGAAGTAGCCCTATGTTCCACTGGGAATGTACAGGAATATAAAAAACTTGGTAAGAATGAAAAGAAATCAACATTTACGTTCAATAGAAGACGATACAATCAATTAGGTTTAAAAGACGAGTAACCAAGGTAGAGAGAAGACATTACTAAGGCTTCTTTTTGAATAAATAAATCAGGTTTCAATCGTTTGATAGTGGCAGACTCTGTGAACTTCAAGAGACTTGAGCTTGATTGTTTGTTTATTGCTTTGAAAGAGCTCACAGTATGTCTACCTGATGTCCATGCGCTAACCACATTCTCATGATTCCTTATTCTTATTCACTATAATTAAAACTTAAATGAGGAACACGTGAATGAAATTTCTTAAGATGAGGAGTATTGTTCCTCTGTTCTTTTAAAAGAAAACTTTATTGACAATTTCATAGACAAAGAAAGTTGAAGCGTTAGGCAGTTTTATGATGTCAAAACATTACAGGTAACGAAACTGTGCAACTCTCGATTACCGATGGATTTCTAATAGTTATTTACCTACAAGTAGGTTGTCTGACAGTTACTGTCTGTGAGAATTTTTGAAATTACCCGTTGTTTTTCTATTTGGTTATACCAACACTATTACACTGTTTAATATTCATGCAAAAAGGGATACAACTCAAACATTTAGAAAACAAAAAACATTGATCAAAGAAACTTCTTTTCGAAAACCTCTTCATGTGGTTCTAACTTTTAAAAGGCTTAGAGAATAGGGGAAATTGTCAAATTTTTACAATCAAATAATGAAGGTGTAGATAGGGAAAGTGTCTAAAAGATCTTCTTAGGGATGGCTGTGGAAGACAATGTAGAAGACGAACATGTAAGGCAAAATCAGGATTAGTTGGAATATAATAGATGATTTTCAATTTTTTGTATACATCAACTTTATGTTCAGCAACCACTATAAGGTGAACTAAAACAGGGCTACGAATAGACCTTGTTTGTCTTTTGCTTAACTATGCAGAATGATGTTCAGAAATCCGATGATAAACATGCCTAACTGTACGCTGAATGTAACTGGCTCTATAGAATCAGTAAAACATGTAGGAGGTGAAATAAATTAGTTTCTTTTGAACACATTTCACAAAGTGACAAGTATAAAAGGGCATAACTGAAGGAAAGATTCACTGGCTGAAATTTTACTGTAAACTTTAAAGATCTTGTCAGTAATTTAGATCTACTGTGTTAATCACTTGCGAGTTATCTGATTCACATATAAACTTGTGTGCATCGGTGGCACAGCGGTACGAAGCTCGCCAACCAGGCATACATTTACCTCACTAAGCCAGTAATCAGACTGGTGAAGACGGAAAGTTAGGCATGAGACTAGCAACTCCACCCCTTGTGAAAATAAACACCACTGTTACCGAAAGTTCAAGCCTCTAACTTGAAGTAGCCCTATGTCCCACTGGGAGTGTAAAGGAATAAAAATAATAATAAACTTGTGTACACTGTCTGCTGTACTGATAGTACGTATTTCCTTAAGGTAGAGAAGAATTGCTCTGAAAAGTCTGGAAAGGTATGAAACCTAGGTAGGTGACTTTTGTCAAAATCTATAACAGTATTTTAGTACACTCCGAAGCATTACAGTATCAGTGTTGCTAAGATTAATGACTATGTCTCACACATGGTTGATAGATTTCAACCTACACAAAGACCACACTTCTCGATTATACTACACTCTGTAAATTTCAATATCCCCCATAAATTATTCAGAACAATAATAGTTACAGAGAACAATTGTAGTTCCGATTCCATCCTCTTCGATACTTTCCCTCATTTCCTTTGAGAAGTGCTCAGCATTACTTTGACAGCAAACTGAAATTGTGTGCGAGTTCATGTATAGTGACCCAAAATAAATAATTAGATAATTATAAAACCATAAAAAATGAAAAAGAGTTTATGATTCTTGCGAGTTGATCACGGATTGACATCAGTTAGAGAACCACTAACAATCAGGAAGTACCGCCAGACAGCTGTTTCAGCAGCAGTACGCACCCACCACAGAAGGTTCGGACCCAGGACCTTCCAGTTACAAGGCGAGCTAGCTCGTAACCCATTCAGCCACTGTGACCCGATTGAATGTCCAGTCCATGAATTCTAACTTCTACCAATTCGTGATTTAGCGCGACCCCAACCAATCTCATCGGTGGGACATCCATCCTCACACACTTGACTGGATGGACCTCAATGGTCACGACTGTCCAGTACTCCCTGCTTGTTTTCAATGCTTCTCTAAGTTGATATCAATCCGTGATCAACTCGTAAAGAAAACAAAACTAATCCTTACAAACCAACTATAGAAGAGTTTAATGAATTATACTGGACGAAAATTTAGATAGCCCAGTGATTTAAACAAGCCACCTTATCATTCATAGCTTGTCGGTGAGTTCCAACTGTCATTTGAACCAACATAAAATGTAGAGGTAATAAGAACATAAAAGGAAATGAAACGCACTAATTTCCTGATGTGTTTGTATATATATAGTCAACAAAAAGTGCAAGTTTAAAGGTGAATCTAGTAAGTGGTGGGAGAATACTACAGAGAAATACACCAACAGATGGGATAGACTACACGTAAGTACAAGGGTGACAAATAACAATAATAATAATGATGAAATATGAACGATGGTGTAGTGTAAACACAAAAGTACTATTAGCGGAGGATCATCAGTTAGTGAAGAAATTGATAAGGTGGCACGGAAAGAACTGTTTGGACATATTAACAAATTTTAAAAGTATCACATAATCCTGGAGTGTAATAGACATAATAAAAGAAGTCATGAAGTTGGAAAAGGTCTGGAATAAAAGTTTGTCTGTGAAACAAACGGGAGAAAATGAAGTAGAGAACTAAATTATTGATGTTTATGAAGCATTTGTTGACCTTCTTGTAGGCTAAGGTAAACAAAAAGAGTTGGACATACTTCTTCTGTATACAGAGTCGAGGTGTTCTGGTCACAGAAGACATAGTCTAGCTCCTTTAGATAGAGAACGCTTGCTCCATTTTTATTGAATGTCCAGTATCTACTATGTGAACTAAGACTGCACTATTTACGTGTTCGATTTTCCCTTTACTCAACCATACAGATACACGTTCATGTGCGTGCATGGCTGAAGCCTTCTGAGTACGTCCAATGTAACTAACTCTGCATGAACGATTAAATTCATAAATACACATTGAAGAGGTTACCACTGGTAGTTTGGTAGCTTGGAAACTGAATACCACTTTAACCACAGGGACTGTTCTCTCAGTCGATCTGTTAAGTCTACACCTTAGAATGTCTGCAGCAGTTTCACTGGGGGAAACATAACTTGAATATGAAGTTATCTAATAATAATAATAATAATTTGCTTTATTCCAAAACAGTACTTGTGATACAGAATGGAATTCTCAGCATTTTTACTACAGTATTGCATCCAGTTAGTACATTATCAATAAATAGAATTCTACATGGATTAAGGAAATCTCAGTTCATTATGACAACAACATATTGGGATGTCGGTAGCAAAGCCAAAGTTGAACAGTGTTTGAAGGCGTTAGAAAAGTAGGTGCTATTATATTTACTGGCGTAAGCGAGAGAAAGAAACAAAGCAGCACATAACGGAAAAAAGAGAAAAAAAGAGAGAGAAAAGGAAAAGAAAGAAAGAAAACGTTGTACCTATAAATGAGATGAGTTGGAAAGACGAGATCCAATTGTTCTACTGACTATTTAATAAGTTATAGGTGTCACGCCTAATGCTTTCTTAATCGCACAGAACACGAGCCAAGTAGGGTATGGTTGAGTTTTTGTACTTGCTGGTGCGAGCATTTAGTTTTCTATATAGGCGTCTGGTTTTGCCTGATGAGATGCAAGGTAAGAGTTGTGAGTGAAGAGGGTGGTGTGAACACGATAATAGTGTATGTACTGTTAGTAATCGTCTCATCGGAATGATGAAGATAAAAAAAATGACCTAATTTTTCACAGGAATAATGACCTTGGGCGAAGTTCGTTTGCTCTCCACAGTGTCTAAGACTGCTTAGCAATGGCTAGCATCATTTTCATTATACGCAGTACATATACAGGTGGTTTTATAAAGTCAAATCAGTAAATTACTTTATCAAAACAAACACTATTTCTTCTTTACTCCCTTTTCTAGTAACAAAAAATCAAGCAAAACATGGACTATCCAGATGCAGATGCCGGTTATGTGGATGAAGATGAGGAGGAGATCCCATTGGCCGAACGCGAGTTGGCTGAAGACGCTGAATGGAAGTTAATACAAAAGAATACATTTACTCGATGGGCTAATGAACATTTAAAGCCTAAAAATGTTACCGTAGAAGATTTACAATTCGATTTAGCTGATGGTCTTCGATTGATTGCTTTAGTTGAATCCCTATCTGGACAACAATTTAAACATGTTAACAGGAAACCAAGTTTTCGTACACAGAAATTAGAAAATGTCACGATGGTTTTAAGATTTTTGGAAGAAAATGAAGGCTTGAGACTGGTGAATATAGGTAAGTTTGTAGTTTAGGCTTTTTTGTAAAAGATGTTGTTTATGTATGAAGTGTTTTATGAACAGTAGAACTGTAGTTCTTTAATTGTTGTCATTCATGTAATTTCAAAGTTGTTATCACGGTATGATTATTTATTATTATTGTTCCCTTGGATTCCTAGTGGAACATAGGGCTTCAGCTACACGTCTCCACTTGTTTCTGTCTTCTGCTGTACTTTTCACCTGCATCCATGTTAATCCATACTGTGTCAGCTCCTCTTCACACGATCTCCTCCATGTCACTATTGGACGTCCCACTCGCCGCTTCCCTTCGGGTTCCACTCAAGCTATGGCCTGACGCGCGATGTCACCCAGCAGCCTCCTCAGCGAGTGTCCACTCCTCCACTGTCTCCACTTTCTCCTGCATATTTGTTGAGCGATTGATTCTTGTTTTGTTTGTTCCCATAGTTTCTTGTTGGTGATTCTTTCCGGCGGCCATCTGATCTTCAGTATAAAGCGAAGGCATGTTGTTGATAAAGGTCTGCAACAGGCTGTTGGAAATATTCTTTGTGACCCGCCAAGTTTCTGATCCGTATAGAAGAACGGTATGATTATGAATTTTCTTAAATTAATGTTGAAGACGTGTCGCAGAGTTTGATACCGACCTACTCCTTCTAACATTTAAGGAGAGTATATGAGTTATAACAACAAAAAACGACAACAACATTTACTTCCCTTTCGTTTCTGACTACTTGAATGGGTAGAATGGAGGCGATCAATTACGATTTGAATTTCACCAGGTGTTTGGTCTTATTTGACTTACTAGATGTTATGTTTTTCCGATTTATGGGTACTTTATCAGTTTTTATAGACAGCAAAAATAACTGTTGTGGTGTTTGCTACACTAATATGCTCGAAAACAGCCCCACTGAGTCTATCAGACCTACATACATCTCTGATTTTCATCATAATGGCGAAATATCACCATGGTTTCTTCGAAACTGAAACTGTCCAGTTCTGATCTACTTGATATCACTAATGGTAATCAAGAAAGCAGGTATAATTAGAGAATTGCGAATTCAAGCAGCCAGTTGAAAATTTGGATCTTGTTACTTGTGATAGATCCTGTAGATCTTCACCACGATTTTAGGGTAACCAACACCTTCCTTACTTTCCTGAAATGATCCTAGTTTCGACATTCTCATCTATGCCACTTGTATTCAAAACGATATTGCCAAAGTCAAGTTATTGAAAGAGGTAACTTCGTTTAGGTTTCTTTCAGTTGATGATGATTGGCGCTTGTTATTGTTAGTTAGATATTTTCATCTCACCCCCTTGTCTTCAATGTGTTCTTCTAGATTACCATCTTTACTACCTTTCCTGCTAACTTGTTACTGTTCACTTGTAAGTCTTCGAGTATGGGATTTGCATAAAACATAAATCATACGCTAAGTACAAGTCTTCTAGTGTCCTTTTGTCAGTCCAACGTGTGCTGGTCTTCTTGGTCCCCACGATCTGTCACATGATCCAGTTAACCACAATCAGGAATAGCATCAATAAAACACAAAATAATTGAGCAAAGAATATCCTTTTCGATAATTTCCTCCTCCTCTGACTCTACAATTATATGTATGTTTATATACATTGAATATCCTAGAACAGTAGTCAATAAAAATATTTTTATTCCTTCACGTTCCTAGTGGAACATAGGGCTTCAAGCTAGAGGCTTGAAATTTCTGTAGCAGTGGTTTACTTTTACAGGATGAGGTTGCTAGCCTCATGCCCACCCTTTCCTCTTTACCGGCTTTTTATTACTGCTTTGGCGAGGTAAGAGAGTTCGTCGGTCGGGGATCGAACCCCGGACCATGTGCATGGTCATGGAGCGTCCTAACCACTGTGCCACAGACGCACCAATAAAAATATTAGTGTATTTTAAATAATATCGATTTGTAAAGCAAGATCAATGGAATAACAGTTCACTAAAGATGCTTAAATTATAATAACAATAAAGATATAGTAGCAAACAGAATATCAACTAAAATTAAGGAAATTTCTACAAAAAACTGGTGATCATTCGAACCAAGTTGGCCAGTGAGGTAAGGGCAATATCTTAACTAGCTTATTTTAGACACATATATTAGGCTTCTTAATATGGATCTCAACAGCCTCAGCAATATTTAGTAGTCTAACTCTTAAGGTGAAGTTAAGATTTATTGGTATGCGGTAAATGACTTTGAAAGCCGCCTCGTTGACATCAATCTCATGTTCCGTATCCACAAGATGAGATAGAATAGGGCTACGAATGGATTTGGTTTGTCCTTTACTTAACCACTATGCAGGGTGATGTTCGACGAGAAACACGCCTTCTTGTACGGCCTATGTAACTGCCACCACAGGAGCAGGTAAGTAAAGGACAAACAAAATCTATTCTCATCGCTGTTCTATCTCATCTTATGGATACAGAACACAAGATTGATGTCAACGAGGTGGCTTTCGAAGTCATTTACAGCATACCAATAAATCTCAATTTCGCCTTAAGAGTTCGACTACTAAATGCTGCTGAGGCTGGCCTTTGGGATCCATATTAAGAAGCCTAATTTGTGCGTCCAAAAGAAGCTAGTTCAAACGTTGTCCACATATCGGCCATCCTCAACCTCTGTAGAAATTTCCTTAATTTTAGTTGCTATTCTATTCGCTATTATATCTTTATTATTATTATTTAAGCATCTTTACTAAGCAGCTGGACCAGATGGAATACCCCCAGAAGCACTGAAAGCTGACCCAGAGACGACAGCAGATATGCTGACTCCATTATTGCAAAAGATCTGGAAAGAGGGAAAGGTGCCTACTAACTGGAGGAAAGGTTACCTAGTGAAACTACCAAAGAAAGGCGACTTAGGCCTCACTCTGCAAGAACTGGCGAGGAATCATGCTCCTGTCGACGCCAAGTAAAATCCTGAGTCGCATCATCCTGGAGAGAATAAAGGACGCACTGGATGCAGAACTGCGAGCAGAACAAGCTGGATTCAGGAAAGGCAAATCATGTCCTAACCCAACTGCAACTCTACGCCTCATCATCATCGAACAAAGCATGGAATGGCAATCAAACCTCTACCTCAACTTCATAGACTTGGAGAAGGACTTTGACAGCGTTGACCGCCAAGTTATTTGGAAACTACTCGAGTACTACGGCGTACCCCAAATATTCATCAACCTTATTCAACAGCTGTACGACAACGGCACATGTCGAATGATCCACAACGGAAAACTCAGCGAGGCGTTTGGAGTGAATACAGAAGTCAGACAAGGGTGCTTATTATCACCAATGATATTCCTAATTGTGGTCGACTGGATTATGCGTCAGACAGTGGGAAACGAGAAGACAGGGATATCCTGGACCGACGTGAAGAACCTGGAAGACCTGGATTTCGCGCGTGGATGATTTATGTTTCATGTCACACAAAATCGAAGACTTACAAGCGAAAATCGACAAACTGGTCGAAGAAGCAGCAAAGACAGGACTCCAGGTGAACATAGACAATACGGAGGTTGTGAAAATAACCAACCAGCAACAACAGCAGCAGCAACATCCAGCGCCAATCACCATCAACGGGAGGGATTTGAAAGAGGTTACTTCATTCATTTATCTAGGGAGCATTGTTTCAACTACAGGAGAAACGGACGGACGAGGATGTCAAATCGAGAATCGGGAAGGCGAGAAACACATTCATCAACCTGAAACCAATCTGGAAATCTTCGTCACTCAGCATCAACAACAAAATTCGGATTTTCAATACAAACGTCAAATCACTTCTTCTATACGAATCAGAAACTTGGCGGATCACAAAGAATATTTCCAACAGCCTGTTGCAGACCTTTATCAATAACTGTCTTCGCTCTATACTGAAGATCAGATGGCGACGGAAAGAATCACCAACAAGAAACTATGGGAACAAACAAAGCAAGAACCAATCGCCCAACAAATATGCAGGAGTAAGTGTAGATGGATTGGACACTCGCTGAGGAGGCCGTTGGGTGACATCGCACGTCAGGCCAGTGCTCGAGTGGAACTCGAAAGGGAAGCGGCGAGTGGGACGTGCAAGGGTGACATGGAGGAGATCGTGTGAAGAGGTGTTGAAACAGTATGGACTAACATGGATGCAGCTGAAAAGTACAGCAGAAGACAGAAGCAAGTGGAGGCGTGCAGTTGAAGCCCTACGTTCCACTAGGAACCCAAGGGAACAATAATACAATAATAATCTTTAATGAACTGTAATTCCATTGATCTTACTTTACAAATCGATATTATTTAGAAAACACTAATATTGTTATTGACTACTATTCTAGAATATTCTATGTATATAAACATATGTATATATATATAATTGTAGAGCCAGAGGAGGAGGAAATTATCGAAAAGGATATTCTTTGCTCAATTATTTTGTGTTTTAAAGATGTCTGAATGAATATCATCAATGACAGTATACAACATTGTCTTGCTTCAGTATCCACTTGAAAAGCTTAAATGAGCTGTTGAATAAGGTTTGTAAATGTTTTTTTAAGTGAGAACTAATAAAGTGTGTTTAAATATGAGACAGTAGCGATAAAGACATGTGACTGGGAGTTTCCTTACATCTTACTGACCTTAATCTACGTAATTCAAATTTAACAGTAGGACACTTCTAAAATTAGTGCTATTTTACTGGAGCTGTCTATTATCCACACTTAATGAAATTAAGGCCACACCAATTTCTTTAAAGCAGGAAGAACCAAAATTTGTAGTCTATCAAAATGAGAACATTTTATTTCCAGGCCTCTCTTCAACTGTAGACAGCCTAAAATGTACACAGTATTAACAAAACTGAAAAAAAAACACAACAAACATTCTTCATTTTATTCAACAGAAGTTTCACGTGAGAATCGTAGTTTTGAGGCAACAACAATACGTGTAATATGGATGGTGTAGTAGGAAGAAAGAAAGTTATTGATCATAAGTTTGGAAGAATATTCGAGAAATCCGTTAAGTGAGTTCAGATCACTGAGTCAGTAAACAGATCTGAGTAATAATCATAATAATAATAATGAAAACAGCCTTTAAAAAATCTATAAAACAGAATGTATAAGTTGTATAATATCTGAAAGGATTGTTACCGAATAAACTGAGACTAATCAATGTTTCTTTCTGTATGTACAAGTTTGCTTTGAGTTACTGTGGGGAGCAAGGAGTCAGGAATACGCTGGACCACCGATAAGAAGACTCTAGAAGATCTGGATTTTGAGTGTGGATGATTTATGTCTGATGTCATGCAAACTCGAAGACTTGCAAGCGAAAAACAACAAACTGGCTGAAGAGGCAGGCAGTGAAGACAGAACTTCAGGTGAACATAGAGAAGATGGAGGTGATGAAGATAACCAACGAACCACAACAGCAACAATAACAACCAGCACCAATCACTATCAACGGGAGATTAACACTTATCTAGGAAGCATCGTTTCAACTACAGGAACTCGGAACGGATGAACATGTCAATACCAGCCAGCCAGAATCGGAAAGGCAAGATACGCACACCTTCATCAACCTGAAACCAGTTTGGAAATCTTCTGCACTCACTCAGCCAGCATGAAGAACAAGATTCGGATTCTGTTGAACACAAATGTGAAGTCAGTCAGTTAATGCTTCCATACGGGTCAGAAACTTGGCCAGCGTGTCAGTCACGAAAAGGATTTCCAACAGCCAGTTACAGACCTTTATCAACAGCTGCCACCTTCTCTGGCTATATACTGAAGATGAAATGGCCGGCCAGCCGGCCAGAAAGAATAAGTAACAAGAAACTGTGGCAACACACCAAAATTCGAGAGCCCATGACTCAACAAATATGTAGGGGAAAATGGAGATGGTTCGGGCATACATTGAGGAAACCATCGGACGACATAGCGCACAATGCAGGCCATCGCTCGAATGGAATCCCAATGGGAAGCGACAAGTGGGTCATTGGTGCAAGAGTGACGTGGACGGGATCGTGTGGCGAGTTGGAGGAGATGAGAGATTATGGTCACTCGTGGACCCAGTTGAAGAGGATGGCAGAAAATAGAAGAAAGTGGAGATCTGTTGTTGTTGAAGCCCTATGATGTTCCACTTGGAACCTAAGGGAATATGATAATAATTGATGGCATCAGATTCAGCAAATCTAAGTAAACCTGTACTTTTGCTTGTTTGCTGAGGTTGGTAAATGTAGTCTGGATATCCTCTCTGTGTCCTAATTGGCTTAGATGTCAGCCAGAAGCACTGGTTAGGGACTAAATAACTTTGAGACTTAAGTTTTTGGCATATGAAGTTCAGAGAAACGAAAGGATGCCCACACTTACATCACGTACATATGAATTGTAAACATACCAACTTGATACTATTGATTATTCACTGTCTTCTTGTGGAGGATAATCTCATAAAAGTGAAAGGGTGAATGCAAACGTCTGGTGCTTACCACTGAACTGGTAGACATGCTAATCTACCTAGTGGAGCTGAAAAACTGTGATTCCGAACCTATGGTGTGTACATGGGCTGTTAAATTTGAAACGATCAAATAGCAGATGGACCTGTTTTGGTCACCAGAAACCATGGAAACGTAGCTCCTGGTGCTGCTCTACTACCTTGTGGATCAAACATAAAATTAAAGTCTAGGTGGGTGGCCCTAAATGACAGCCATCTTTTCCGATCTTGACATCCAAGCAATACCCCAGCGATCATATAAACTTAAAGACTTTTTGCAGTGCGTCTGTCGATTCCCATAGTGTATCAAGTTTATGCTTTAATAATAAATAATAAATGATCAATACCACCACCAGCAACAACAACAGACAACGATCAGCATAAATGGGAGGGACCTGAAAGAAACAACCTCCTTTACCTACCTGGGAAGCATCGTTTCAACTACAGGCGGACGGAACTGACGAGGATATCAAAGCAAGAATCGGAAAAGCAAGACAAGCTTTCACTACTCTCAAGTCTGTGTGGAGGTCAAAAGCACTCAGCATCAAAAATAAGATCCGGATTTTCAACTCCAATGTGAAGTCAGTGCTACTATACGGATCAGAGACTTGCACTGCGCGTCATAAAGAGCATCTCAAACAAACTACAGACCTTCATTAACAGTTGTCTTCGCTCAATACTCAAGATCAGATGGCCGGCCAGAAAAGATCAGCAACAGGGATCTCTGGGAGCGAACCAACTAGGAACCGATTGTAAAACAAATAGGCAGGAAGAAATGGAGATGGATTGGCCATACTCTGAGGAAACCATCAAGTGACATCACTAGACAAGCCATTGCTCGAGTGGAACCGGAAAGGGAAGCGGCGAGTTGGTCGTCAGTGCAAGGGTGACTTGGAGGATGAGGTCATGTGAAGAGGAGATGAAAACGTGTGGACAGACTTGGAGCCAGGTGAAGACTCCAGCAGAGAACCGAACGCAATGAAGACGCACGGCTGAAGCCTTATGTTCCTCTAGGAAATAAAAGAAAACAATAATAATAATAAATGATCAATTTGTTCATAAAGTGTAGTTGTTTGTATAATTTAAGACACGCTTTCTGTATGTATTGTGTATTTGTGTACTTTTTGTTTATTCCCCTACAGATAGTTCAGATATTGTTGATTGTCGGAGTAAATTAATCCTCGGTTTAATTTGGACGCTTATTCTGCATTATTCAATCACAATTCCACTTTGGGAAGGTGAACCTGACTATGGGGTTAGTTTTGCAGTATTAATGTTACTTTAAAAGTGTTTAATCTAACATTATTGATCATTATTATTATTCCTTTGGCGTCCAAGAGGAACATAAGACTCTGTTCTCTATAGTTCTTTTTAGGTGTCTCCACTATCGCCCATAATCTTTCAATTCATCCGTGTTATATTTGGATTGACGCCTGACTCATCGTTTCTTATTCGGGTTCCATCTGTGGGCCTGCCCGGCGCGTGATTTCGCTCTATGGTCTCCTCAGAGTATGTCAAAAGCACCTCTATTTCCTTCAGCGTATTTATTAGCCTATGTGTTCTTAGTTAGTGCTTTGCACTGTAGAATTCCTTATGGATAATCCTTTCTGGCGAGTCACCTGATCTTAAGTATGAAGTAATAGGGGCCAGCTGTTGATGAAAGTCTGCAGCCTTTTGGAAATGCTGCCAAGTCTGTGGATCCTAAAGGAGCGCTGAGTTGACACTAGTGTTGAAGATCCTTATCTTGTCTTTTTATGCTGATTCCAGCAGATTTCCACACTGATTTCAGAGTAATAAAGGTCTGTCTTATTGAATTAGGACTCCACAATGAACTTAGTCTTTGATTGGACACTAGTCAGTAACTAGTGTGATGTGTCTAGTCCTTTCTTTGGAGCAGACTGAATTCTATCAGTCAGGTTTGTAATGTGGCCATCGCACCACTAGGTAGCTCGCCATCACGGTGCACATTGATTTGATGATATTAGATGGTTGGAGGCAATCAGCAGGAAGCTATCGTGATGGCAAGCTACCTAGAATGGTGGCCACACTGCACCAAACAAAGGACTAGACACATCGCACTAGTTACTAGTGTCCAATAAAAGTATCCACAGCAGTCCTACAGAAGGTCAATCGCGATCCCGAATAGCTCAGTGGCAACGTCTTTGACTGCAGGCAGCACTGAGTGACGCCAGTTCGAATCTCAGATGGGTGGGACATGAGTTTTTTCAAGGTTGAAGATACGCCTTGCTGACTGGTGGAACGAAACGGATACCAGTGTAAATAATAGAAGTACCAGAGAATTCCTAGATGCCGGATACTCAGATGAATCAGTGATCAACAGAAACATTATTTCAAGTATTGGTTTTTGCTGGGATTTTGTTTTGATTAGTTGGAGGATTTCATCATGAGCTGGCACCAGTTACAGAAGCATTGAAAAAACTGTAGGGAGTGTTGAACAGCTGTTTCCCCCGTCCTAGTTTGAGACTCTTCGTCAGTACGCATCCACCGGGGTTTGAAATCCTTCAACCAATCGAAACAAAATCCCTACAAAAACCAATACTTGAAAAAATCGACCTGATGCGGTCCTGTGTTCGAACCTCCTGTGGTGGGTTCGTGCTGCTGAAGAGTTGCAGACTAGGACGGAAGAAACAGGTGTCTGGTAGTACTCCCTGCAGGTTTTCGAATGGTTCTCTAAAGGATGTCAGCTCATGATGAAATCCTCCAACCAAAGAAATACTATAATAGATCATATTTATCAAATAATAAGGCATAAGCAATATGACAAAAAAGTCGAACTCCAAGTCAATACAAACGATCATTACCGATGTAAATTAACGGCCGATCACGACAAAAATTGTCAGGAGAACGGGAATTGTATCATTCATGTAGAAACCAAATACGTTCACTACTTTATGTAGAAGATCATGTTGAAGATGTTGTCTAGATCGAGACAATGACAGCCTCGTAAATAAACCAACCAGTTCAGAAAATGCAGACACAACAAATAAGGTTGGAATTGTACTCTGTCACAATGTCGTCATTTAATGCCACTCTAATTATGGTATTTATAATACATCAAACAGAAAATCAATTCAGTTTATTATTGTAATTAAATAAATTTATTATTATTATTGCTATATTAATCAGCACTTCACTGACATTATTATTCACCGCTGTTTCTATTACTTAGTGAGCATGAGTACTTCCTTTTTTAAATTTGTTTTCAATGGTTCCAATCATTTTTTCTAATGAATATATTATTTTCAAGTGCATTTTGATTTATTGATTTATTTGCATTTATTCACGATCAACATACCTTCATTCCCTCCGTCTCAGAGGAAGGCGGAAGGTAATCAACTGCAACACATAAACACACCCACGCACGCACACATACAATACAAGTTAGATTGTTAGATTTACGCCTTTAATAAAACATAAACAAGGGACCCATTAAATACTCATTTTTAAACCACTATTATCTACTCAGTCACTCAACCACTTTACTCCAAATATTGTCTATGCTTATGACATTTAAATCTCAGTTATTGATTAATGTGTATGTTTTATGACCTTGAGGAAAGAGTAGTAGTAGTCTGTCTTTCCTATACAAACAAATAGACACACATTCATAGAAGGCATTTTATTGATTGATTTTAATTGAACACGTGATAACAGTCGGGAAAGTTAACTTTAAATTATGATTACAATGTTCAGGCGTCTCCCGTATTGATTTCTACTGTCTTGAAAGACAAATGTAAATGAAATAATAACTATTTAAAAACGTTTGTTATGTTTGCAATTAATAATAGTAATAATAACAACAACAAATTGAATGGCATAAGCAATTAATGCGTTCACTGTGCAGTGAATAATGGGATGGGTTACCATGGCAACACTAATGTTCTCGTTTGAATACTGGGGTGGAGGGAGGGGGCAGAATTAATACATCGATGATAGACAACAGCTAAAGCGCTACTGATTACCATGAGGTTTAGATTAGTTATTTTGTTCTCATGTATAGTACCACGGTCTAGACGCGTGACATTGTCTACAGCCTAGTAACTAATCTGTGTATCCTACAGAATGTCAATCGTAAATTCAAAAAACACAATGGTAACATCTCTGGCTGAAGAACCGAATGACTATGGAAACATGAGTCCCTTCAAGGTTACAGGTACGCCTTCCTGACGAGTACTAAAAGGCATGAAACCTAAGTCAAGCTTGGCGTCTTGAAGATTGCCTCCACTCATCCAACAACAATTCACAGTGCACAGCCATGGTGAGCCACCTAGCTTGGTGACCAAATTGCAGATCTGACTGATAGAAACCAATCTGCACCAATACAAGTTGTAGACGCATAACACTGGTTACACCTTAGAGACCAGTCAATGCATGTACAATATCATTCCATGGAAATTCATCGGACAAACTTTAAAACATACATATCTGATGCTAACACGATGATTTGAGACGTAATGATCTGAACTTATTAATCGTGAGCTAAAAGTGTAAACTACTGAAACTTGAAGATTGTCTGACTGGTTTCAAAATAGAACGTTGCACAGAAGTGCAACAGTTCATGTCGCCACATTCCATTTAGCACACAAAAGAAGACAGATGGAGAAACATGAAGAGTTAATGGGTATGGCAGATTGCACAGAGTTAAGGTATCTGAGCTATTGAGAAGAATTTCCCGAGGACCCTAACTAGGCAGTCCACACCTCCCTACCTGTCTCAAGCTAACTATTAGACATTTCATAGACTGATGTTATGTTTCGGTGTGACCACCACTAGCTCTTTTCCAACTTGATCCTATGTCAGTTAACACTGTCTGTCGATGTACCTTCATAACCTTATCGACTGATTGTCTCTCCTTACCTAACACTCGACTCCTAACCCCAATACTACTCACTGTATTATACCACTTAACGTAGGAGAAAAACCGCAGACACCTCCGATCAAAGACAGCTAGCCAGGCTTATCATGTCTTCCACTTTCAATGGCCATGTCTCACAGCCATAAAGGAGAACAGAGAGAAATGCTGATAGCCGGATATCATGTCTGCGCCAGAAATGATGCAATTTGCGAATTCTACAAAAGCGTTATGTATCCGTCCTCAGAATTCGTCGCCAACCAGCCTGCTGGGACTGATTCAACTTCTCAAATAAGTGAAGAGAATCCACCTTAATGCCAACCAATCATATTCACTGTATAATTCTGTCAACTAAATGGTTTATGAAGTAGCTATTGGTTTGGAGTACTTTTTGAATGATTCTTCGGTAATTTAACAAGTCTGCTGGATATCCTGAATGCTTATTGGAAAGTAAAATACCACTAAAAGCAGTATCTAGGTTGATATAGAAGAAAATGTTCTGGGAAATGTACGATTAAAGATTTATTGACTGGTCACAAACTGATTTCACCTATAGGACAATTGAAAATCAGCAGGGAATACTGGACAGTTGATGGGCTGCTGGATCCCATGCCACTGGCTTGTAATCTGAAGGTCTTGAATTCAATCCCTAGTAGCTGGATCATGCGTGTACACTGATGATAAGTCCCGAACTGGGACGAGATATATATGTCCACTACTCCAGTGCCACTTTTCAATGGTTCTGTAACTGAAATCACTTCACAATCACACCAAATACCTGTAGTTAGTTGGGCAAGACTTGATTTCTCATAATTCCAGTTAACCTGGGAATACTGGACAGATGTTTCGTCCTAGTTTGGGACTCTTCATCAGTATGCACCCACCGGGGTTTGAACCCAGGACCTTTTGCTTACAAGGTGAACTCGCAGAAGGTCCTAGGTTCAAACCCCGGTGGATGCGTGCTGCTGAAGAGTCCCAAACTAGGACAGAGGAAACAACTATCCAGTACTCCCAGGTTTTCCAGTGGTTCTCTAACTGATATCAGCTCATGATGAAATCCTCCATGCAATCAAGCAAATCCCTACAAAACCAATACTTGAAAATTCCAGTTAATTTAAGAATATAATTTCGAAATTGTGTATAATGACCTATGGATATTTTCTACAAATTGATTGGCCACTAATTGGGGGTAACCAATGTCACAGCTCGAGTCCATAGTGTTGGTTTAGACTTAAGTCTACCAATCAAGTTTCCAGTCATCATGATATCTGAATCTTTACATGAGTAAAGTTAACAATAATAAACCCTTGACAGCTTCCTATTAGATTTTCCCCTGACCTGAAATGTTAATTTCAAGAAGCAAAAATATTCATTCAGACATCTATAAAACACAAAATAATTGAGCAAAGAATATCCTTTTCGATAATTTCCTCTTCTGGCTCTACAATTATATATATATGTTTATATACATAGAATATTCTAGATTAATAGTCAATAACAATATTAGTGTTTTTTTAAATAATATCGATTTGTAAAGTAAGATCAATGGAATTACAGTTCATTAAAGATGCTTAAAAATATAATAGCAAATAGAATATCAACTAAAATTAGGAAAATTCCACAAAAATTCAGGATCATTCAAACCTAGATGGCCAGCGGGGTAAGGATAATGTCTGAACTAGCTTCTTTTGGATGCATAAATTAGGCTTGTTAATATAGATCCCAACAGCCTCAGCAGTATTTAGTAAACGAACTCTTAAGGTGAAGTTAAGATTTGTTGGTATGCGGTAAATGACTTTGAAAGCATGGTTAACATCAATCTTGTGTTCTGTATCCACAAGATGAGATAGAATAGCGCTGCGAATAGATTTTGTTTGTCCTTTGCTTAACCATGCAGGGTGATGTTCGGAAATTCGACGAGAAACACGCCTAATTGTACGGCCTATGTAACTGGCTCCACAGGAGCAGTTATATTGGTAGATACAAATGAAAGAGGCGAAATTAGTCAGTTTGTCTTTTACTCCCGAACGCAAAAGAGGAGTGGTTTTGAAGATACAGCGTAATTCGGCAGCAGGGAATGCTCTTTTCACCGTATTTCTAAGGCGCTGTGTTAGTATCTCGCTGATGTTGTCCCCAAGGAACTGCATTTTACACACATCAGTATTGGAATGTGTATTTCCAGACGAGCCTGTGATAGGTTACATAATTACGAATGTAATAATAATAATAATAATAATAATAATAAAATGTATCACAAAAAGTGATTATGCTGCAACATGGGCCGATTAACAGGCGTCTATCTACGTGCTGAAATCTGATTGGTTGTTTCTCTGACCAGCATATACACAATCAATATTTAAAAAAATTTAAATTCTGACTGACAAAATATCGAACTAGTCTATTTATATTCCCTAATACTAAGCTAGATGACTCACCATTGTGGTGCACCTTAAATTGATGTAAGCTGGTTAAAGGCAGTCAGCAGGAAGTCCTGCTTGTCAGCAGTCATCAGGGATCGATTTCCTTTTTCTATGTCATCTTTTGGGAAAATGACTTCAAATTTCATGATGGCTTTTCACCTGACATTTGAAAGAAATAATTGTCAAGTGTCAGTCAATACACTTCGATTCATTCTTTATGTACACACATATATGTTCTAATGAAGACATTTATAATAATCATAATAATAATTTGCTTTATTCCAGAAACAGTACTAGTGGTACAGTGTGGAATTTTCAGCACATATCTACAATATGTGCATCTAATTTTATCCAACTTTTAAAAGGAGTATTTTCAAAAAAAAGATAAATATAAAGACAACAACAGCAAAAAAACACAAAATAATTTTTAAAAAATGCGAAAAAAATACCAAGAAGTAGAAAGGAAAATAAACAGCATATAATAATATCTCAGTATTGGGTAGTGGAAGCTATGATGTGATTATGCATGGTGACAGTAAAGCTATAATCATACAAGAAGTTATGAAATGATATTTAAGAATGTTTATCGCCAAGATGATCAGTTAATTTGGTTGAAACAACACTAAACAATCATAAAATAACATTTCAGGGTTATTTCTTATTGTCAGGTCTAATGCAGTGTTTGTAGTGGTAGTGTGAGTAATCCTGAATAATACAAAATTTTAAGATGGTGATAATGGCGTTCACAACCAATGATTGTCAGTTTAATATTGCCGAAAAAAATAAAAAATAAAAAAACAACCACAAAAACTAATAATTACATGATGGTTAATGACAGGACAATTTTGTAATACTCATAGTGCTAATATAGTCGGAACCAGTGGATACACAATAGAAGGAATATAGTAAAGTACAAAAAAGTAAGCCAATGTTAATAATTTAGGTAGCTAAGTATGTTTAAGAAGGAGTTTACTATAGAATACAAAATAAGAGAGAAATAAAAGAGCCTATAATTATGATATTAACAACAAAGCAAGTAATAGGTTTCGCGCTTAACATTGTCTCTGTCGGGCCAAATATGGTATCGTTGAGTTCCTGTGCTTGGTTGTACGAGCATAGATTATTTTATACTGATTTCTGGTTCTGCTTGATGAGATACAAGGTGAGAGTTAGGAATAGAGGGGGTATTGGGGGTCTGAGAGTATGGTTTTAGACTATTTTTCTTTTTTGTTTATAATACTGCGAATTTGTATTTTTGCTTTCAATATTCAGAAATCCAAACGATGGATACGTCATCAACGAGTTGTCAAGCCTGTACCACCGCTAGAACCAAAACTTTTCAATAATTACTCTGAAAAGAATTTCCGGGTTAGCACTCAAAGATAATTGTTTTTCAAAAAAGCAAAGAAAGAATAGGCAACACTTTGAACACTTATGTGTGTGTGTGATTCTCACATTTTCTTTCAACACTATTCAACTGCACTAAAAAATTGTTTCAAGGACTTGGTTTAATTTCATTGGATTGAATGTGTGTGTAGGGGTCTTTTTGCTTTCATGTCGAAAAGGACATCTATGAACTGTGTATTTTAAACACTATTTCTTGTTTTTCTTTATACAACAGGCTCAAGGACCTACACCAAAACAACGTCTAATGGCATGGTTGAATAATAAACTAGCCGAAAGACCCGTGAAAAATTTCACAACTGATTGGAATGATGGTATTGCTATCGGTGCATTGGTTGATGCTTGTGCACCAGGCCTATGTCCTGATTGGCGTGAATGGGAACCTAAACAAAATTTAAGAAATGCACGTGAAGCAATGGGTGCAGCAGAGCAATGGTTAGATGTACCACAACTTATTCGCCCTGAAGAGATGATTAATCCAAGAGTGGATGAAAAAGCTATGATGACATATTTAAGTCAATTTCCTAGTGCAAAACTTAAAGATGGTGCACCGCTTAGACCAAAATCAAATCCTGGTCTTGTACGTGCTTATGGTCCTGGTGAGTTAAAATTAGATTTGTTTGTTTTTTTTATTAACACCTTTAGACATATTAAAAAATCAGTTTGTGGTAACAATTATTATTGGTGTACACTTATACCTCACAAACATCACTATCATCTCATGTGTATTTGCCGTCTGAATAACTCGGGTCTAAATTAATTTGATTACACTAGTGACTGAGTGAGATGCCATTTCATATTTCTGTCATGAAATCATTTCGTTTGAGGTTAGAAATATATCCGTCACTTAGGTACAGTGTCTTCTGTCTAATTATCTCTAACCTTCCACCAAGAAGTGAGGGAACTGGACTGAACTTTCAGCCTACAAATTTGCACAAAATTGAAACAATTCAAGTTGTCACATCTGTAAAGTTTTCAAGTAATGGTTTTGTAGGGATTTTGTTTGATTGCATGGGGGATTTCATCATGAGCTGACATCAGTTAGAGAACCACTGAAAAACCTGGGAGTACTCGACAACTGTTTCGTCCTAGTGTCTTGGAACTCTTCAGCAGTACGCACCCACCAGGAATCGAACCCAGGACCTTCTGGTTGCAAGACGAGCTAGCTCGTAGACCATTGAGCCACTGTGACCCGATCCAATGGTCCTTGAATTCTAACTCCTGCCAATTCACGACATAGCGCGACCATTTCGCAATGTCTTCTTCGATGAGTTACTGCCTCATCTTCAACCTGCTGTATCCTGCTGGTCATGGCTTCCCACTAGAACCCCAGGTTAACTGCCTGAATAGGGCCAGTCACTAGTGAGCATCAGATTAATTTTCAAGTATTGGTTTTGTAGGGATTTTGTTTGATTGAATGGAGGGTGTGTACTGATGAAGAGTCGCAAACTAGGACAGAGGAAACAGCTGTCCAGTACTCCGAGGTTTTCCAGTGGTTCTCTAACCGATGTCATCTCATGATGAAATCCTCCATGCATCTGTAAAGTTAACGATAAAAAAAGGAAAATTAAACTTACAGGAGGAACAGTAATTATGTACAGAATAATAAGAATTTCATTGGCCTTCGGAGATTGTAGAAAGTGAATGAGTCTAAGTCCCTTAAAGCGACTTTTAGCCACGTCACCATCAGTCCCCATTCAAAAGGTCTGTATCTACTTTTGTGCCTAAAACGGACGTCAGTGACTGGACTAACCTCCTTAACTAACAACCTAAGCTTAGCCTCAATAGTACTCAGCATATAACACCACTTAACGGGAGTGATATAATACGAGCACCTATAGCCAAAGACAGCTAACCTCTTTGCGTCTCACTTCTGTGCAAAAAGGACTAAGCAAACTGCTGAGCAGTGCACATGTCCTTTGATGGATACGTAAGTTCACAAATGACACACAAACCTTTAGTATCCTTTACGGGATTTCGTAAGCAGTCAACCCATTAGGGCTGCTGCAACCTAAGCAGATACATGAAACTCTCAACACACTTAACCATTTCACTCCTGGCTAACTTTAAACTTGCAGTCGGTGCAGACCATTTTTGTAACGCTGTCTCATTTCTGGCACAAGTGAACCACACACCGAACATATTAGGATTCCTGCGAAAGTAAAGTAAATTATAATTAGGAAAATTAAAGTTCTAGTGAAACTGAGTTATTATTATTATTATTACATATTATTGATCCCTTGGGTTCCGAGTGGAACATAGGGCTTCAAAAACACATCTCCACTTTCTTCTATTTGACGTTGTCCTCTTCAACTGGGTCCACGATTGTCCATAATCTCTCATCTCCTCCAGCTCGCACGATCTCCTCCATGTCATCCTTGCACTCGTCGCTTCCCATTGGGGTTCCACTCGAAGGCCTGGTGCACGATGTCAGTTAACGGTTTCCTTAACGTATGCCCGATCCGTCTTCATTTTCCCCTACATATTTGTTGAGCAATCGGTTCGTGTTTAGTTTGTTCCCAGTTAGAGTTTCTTGTTGCTAATTCTTTCTGGCTGGCCGGCCGGCCATTCGATCTTCAGTATAGAGCCAGACAAGGTGGCAGCTGTTGATAAGGGTCTTTAGTAGCCTGTTGGGAATGCTTTTCGTGGCTGACACACTGGCCAAGTTTCTGACTGACTTCACATTTATGTTCAACAGAATCCGAATTTTGTTCTTTAAGATGGGGAGTGCAGAAGATTTCCAAACTGGTTTCAGGTTGATGAAGGTGTGCGTATCTTGCCTTTCCGATTCTGGCTGGCTGGTATTGACATCTTCATCCGTTCCGCCAGTACTTGAAAGTGAAACTGAGTTACACTTAAATAATCTGGAAGATTCGTAGAGATAGAAGGCCATAAAATCTGTTTAATAATTTCTGAGTACAATTCACAAAGCATGTTTTACTAAACCAGTGCTCACCTTTTCCTGACACTTTGTCTAAACAGTATGAAATAAGGCTTACTTGTTCACCGTCAAACATCATTTGTTTTTGAGTATCAACAAGCAGAAAAATGATACTAAATCACGTGACCAAATTTCATTGGATTACACGATATACAACTTTGACTGTCTACTGTCTAATTGGTTGAAAAATTAAGGATAAAAATGTTTAAAAATAAACGAATCAAACAATTCCAACACTGGTGTGAACACGGGCAGTAATTTTGCTCGAAATATTACCAATAACAAAACTTATCATTGTGTGTAAACTATTAAAATATAATTATACTTTATTTGATCTAATCCACAATGCTCAAACTTTTTACTGTTATTAAATAAACGGATATCTTATAACCAAAAACATAAATAACTGCCACCGGTATTTCCTCCTCAAATAGTACAACGTCTATGTTCCTCAGTAAGTACTTATGCTATAGACCACAATAACAAGAGAGGTCATAAATAATCAAACCACATATAACCACCAAACCAGTCCCAATTTACAATTTTCCTACGATTCAGATCCCTGAAGAAAAATATCCCTAATCAACAGAAATAACCAATAAGAATTTGAGTACATTAATATTAACCAATAGAAAAACACTATCCCAATAACCAATCATGATTGGCCAGGCATGTATCAGGCATTAAAATAGGCATTCGATACAGTCTCTCTCTTAAAACTCATTCACACATAAATAAATAAATAAATATCACATATCTCAACAAAAAATAATTGAAACCTTGAACATTATTGCATATCGCGCAAAAATTTAAACAAACAATTCAATAGATTCAATGGAATTATAATCACTCTGACTGTATATAATTTAATGGTCGTTTTATTTGAAATCAAAATCACCAAAATACAGAGCAGATAAATAAAGATTGTTGGAAAAGAAAAGTATAGTATAGAAAAGAATAGAATGATCCTTATCTAATGGCGACAGGATTTCAATATTTAATTGAAGTCGATGTGGATCACGCTTTACTAGCTGCTGCAATATTACCTTCAGTAGAATCAATTTCCACGCCATTAGTGAACATTGAACAAAACGCCTCGGATTATAACAAGAAAAACAACAACAACAATAATAACAGTAATTTGAAGATACAAAACAACATTGGGCAGAGCTTAACTCTATTGATACAAATCGTCAAGGATTAGGTGTGATATATGCCTTGAGTAGACAAACTTTTTCATGTTATCTATTCTTTTTTGGTTCAAAAATGAAGAAACAAGTGACACCGACACCAAGACAGAGTTTAAAACCACCGCCACCAGCAGCATCATCACGTACTGGGAAATTAAATTCAACAGTTAAAGGTAGATATTTGTGTGTGTTTTCTACACCCCCCACTTCCCCACCATTTTAATGACTTCTATTTTCATGTATTGTTTATTTTTGGAATAACAAGGTGGATTACATCAAGATAATCACATCATCTTGCATTAAATATTGTCAACTGAGACTGAAAGTAAACGGCGTGTTGCTAGGCTAATCAAATACATTCGAGCAGATGTGTCCAAATATCAGTTTACGCATAATCCTATGTATTTTGAATGACTTACCAACATGTCGTTTACTGTTAGTCGTCAACTGGCCCACTTGATCGAAATTTGGGTAGATTTTGAGATTTAAGTTTTACAGTTATTTTGATGAACACCCAACAAGTATGAAGGCACTAGTGACCTTGGAAAGAGAAATTGCCCTAAAAAGTAAATTTTAGTCCAAAACACAACCATAACCTCAATCTTTCCTTAAGCAAAGTCTGCTCTATCCTTAGCCCTTCGTTCAACACACTTTTTTGCATATAGCATTATATACCTAGTTTCACTACCTTGCTCTAACTGAGCGTTTCAAGGTCATGATGCGTTCATGAATGTTTGCTATATATATATATTATTATTTCTGAATATACATTATCTCATATTGATTTTTATTCAAATTTCTAGTCAATTCCACACATGTGTATAAATGAAGGAAAAAAGTTGTGTGAGTAGTGTCTTGATATGATTATGAGCAGCAATAGATTGTCCTCAAAACGTGGTCATCAGTTAATATTGTAACAACAGAAGACAAGGGCCAGGCAACAGAACGATTATTACGGAAAATCAACACATATTTATAGATTTTGATGTACATTATTGTAGGTTAATGTTAGTAGAAAATACAGTCTGTTGATTGGTTGTTTCTCACACAAAGTTAACTTTGCATCTCTTGTGGCTGTGTCAGTTCATCTATATGTTAACTGTACCCGCCTATCCATCTTGACCTTGTTTTCACATGAATAACATTGACCTCAATTACTGTCAACCAATTAGGCTAGCAACCATCTCTCACCACACGCTCAAGTAACATTTGTGATTTAAGTGGTGATTACCGGCACTATGATTATGGTTCACTAACATACATTAGGTTAGGCAGTCCCGTCTTTGCTGTTCCAGATTTATTGCGTATACAAATAAACACCATAAAACAGTGATACTCAAGAATCGTCAGCTAGTATATTTCCCTGATGTGAGTCGGTGGTTCAAGAGTAGTATGCTTGCCAAACACACACGTCGCTTAGGTTCAATTCTCGGCCGATGCACGCCTACACCTTGCTTAACAAATAGTA